ATAATAATAATAATAATAATAATAATAATAATAATAATAATAATAATAAAAACAGAGAGGGGCTGACTCCCAGGGGCTGCCACCGGGATGCTTGTTGCTGGAGATGCTTCCACGGGTTGAACCCGGGACCTCTGCAACTCGTAGCCTCATAAATAGACTCCATGCCTCCCTCAAGGAAGTGCGTTGCTGGTCCTTCTGGTTCTGGGCTAGAAAATGGCCAGCCCGTGCATCTATCTAGCCCAGAGTGGCTCAGTGCTTGGAAGATGCCCAGTGTGGGAACACACCTGCCATGGCCCCGTTCCTGCAGTGGGTCCACCGCCTCATACCTTTGCTCCCAGCTGCTCCAGCACCTCCTCCTCCTCCTCTTCATGGCTTTCAGTGACTTTTGCTTGGCAAGCCACAAGCCGGACAAAGGCAGCCGCTGCAGGAGGCCGGAGAGCAGGCCCGCTGCCACAGGAACAGGGGGAGAAGTGCCGGGAGCCCTTGCAGTGTGTCCCCAGCCAAGGACGGGACGGGACGGGCCCCGGCAGATGACCCACTGTGCCAACGCTGGCACAGGAGAAAAGGCGCGTGTGGCGTGGAGTGATCCGACAGAGCAAAAGGACGCCGAGTGGTTTCCACGAAGCCTGAGGGTTTGGGAAAGGTTTCTTAGGATGCAAGGCTCTTTCCAGGGTGGATATGGGATGATGGCCAATCTCCCCCGCCCGGTCTTTTTAGGCAGGCTCTTCTGCCTTCCTCCGGAGTTCGACTCAGTTCTGCCGAAGAGCCCCATGCGGTTGGAGGCTGCAAAGTTCAGGAAACCTGCTGTTGGGGCCTCCCGCATTCAGCACTACTTGGAAACCTCCCTCGATGCTGCTGGCAAAAAAAGGGGCACCTGAAGGTCAGTTGGAGGGCCCTCCAGCTTCCATGGCAAAACTGGCGATGCCTCCGTGGGTTGAACCAGGACCTCTGCACTCACAGCATTTCCCCACCCCAGCTCAGAGGCCCCGTTGACCAAATCGGACAGGGCACGGCACTGGGCACACATCTCTTACCCCACACCCCTGGCGCAGAGCGTCAGAAACTTCTGCTCCGTGGGCCATTTTCTGCTGTCAGCAGGACAGGATTCCTTCTTAGCTCTCCCTAGGGGTGGTGCCCGGGATCAGACCTGGTTTGCCCAGCACGCAATGCAGGGCTTTAGTGCTGACCTATGGCTCCTCCTTGCACCATCCCGTAAGATTCTAGTCCTCATGGCACCAAAGTAAGGGCCGATGAAGAGAGGAAACCGCTGCGGCCTGAGTTAGAGCACCGGTGCATCTTGCCCGGTATGACAACCCTCCAGGGTTTCAGCAGTTTTTCCAGCATTGCCTGGAGATGCCACAGGGATCAGCCAGAGACACGGTGAATGCAGGACAGCTGCTGCACTTCTCACCTTCTCAAAATAAACCCAGATTCCAGTCCTCACGGTTACTTTATTTTACTGTAGGATTTTCTTTGCTGCCAAGTACGATAAAGTTCCTGAGCGGTATTTTAGGGGGCAACAAAGCGAGCCTCTGCCTTTTTGCAGCATTTCTCCCTCTGCAACAGCTCAAGGACTGTATTTCAATGTATTTTATCATGTTGTAAGCCGCCCCGAGGTTTCGGCAAGGGGCGGCATAGAAATGTTATAATAATAATAATAATAATAATAATAATAATAATAATAATAATAGTAATAATAATAATAATAATAATAATTTGCAAGGAATACGGCAAAACAGCACGTCTGAAGATAGCTGGGCTGGGAGGCCGCCGTCTCTCCGCTCTGGGAGTTCACCATGGTCGTTGCGCTTGGGAAGCGCGTTCCCAAAGGAACGGCTCGTTTCGGGCCTTCTGTCCACTCCGTGGGAAGCTTCCCGGCGCTCGCCCTGCTCTTTGTCTTGCAAACCTTGCAGGAAATCGACGTGGGCCGGTGCTTGGGACTATGCGGGTCCGGAAGCCGCTGCCTGCCCGGGTGAGCCTCACCCTTCAATGAGGCTGCAAAGCGCACGCGGCTGGCCGCATTTTTTTATTTTTATTTTTGATTTATATCCTGCCTT